AGAGCGTTGATAAATGCTCTTTGGGCAGGACTTATTTTAAAGCTCCACATCCCAAGTTGAAACCCGAAATAACCCTTGCAGGAAAGGCTTAAATGTGGGTGCTCTGGTAAAAGTTATAACCCAAATTTTATAAAGTGAGATAAAATCGTTTGCATTCGCCTTTACGTTTCCCAGAAAAAGCATACCTATGACAATTGTTTTACACGTTATTCCTGGTCATGCTGTGCAGGAGAGACGTTTGAAGCAACAGCAAACTGAGCTGTCCGGGTATGTTATCGATCTTCCGAAAATTCTCTCAAAATTCACCCGGCCATATGTAGCCTAAGTGTGTGTACTGAGTATTACTGCTGTCATTTTCTAATCTCCTACGACCGTGGTTGTTGAAAAAATCTAACAGTTATTAAAAACTGCGGACTGACTGCTTCAAATAAATGGAACTCTCTGAATTAAGCAAGATATTTGAGCGGAGCAAAGATCAAAATTTGGGAGCTTGTACTCACAAACAATTAGCACTAGCTTATTTAGGCATCGCTATGTGATGGTGGCTACGTCTAGGCGTGTAGTGCTATGTAGTTTCTCTTAAAATACGTTGATAGTAAATCCGCCTCAAACAACCCCCAAAGCCTTTATCATGTCCTTTCATATATATAACTGAATAACCGCGCTCTTCATTGATTATTATATTAGGTACGTCTGATAGAAATATCGTTTTCGTGGTCATAATTTGTTTGTTGTTTTCTTTGCTCGAGTTTTGCTTTTGAGAATTGTCCTAACAAAGTGGAGAACAAAAAATCCAAAGGCGGTCGTGATCTCCATTCATGCTGCATGAAGTGCGCGAAGGAAGCAATGCAAAATCATTTACCAAAGTAATTTGTTATGCTAGGCTGCATGCGTTTGATGTCCATGAGTGTCAGTGTTGGTTCGCGAAATTCCGATCGGGCTATGTCGGACTCTACGACCCCTATTGGGTAATAATCGGGAGAGGGCACCCAAAAATACTGCCGGCCATAGCAGCGATCTTATTGCAATCGTCCTAAGCTATGCAGACATTGACTGCGCCGCACACTGGCGACTGTGGTAGCTCCTGACCTTTGGAAGTAATGGTAAAAATGGATAATCCAAGTGTTCGGTCAACGGCGATCGTATTGCAATTGTCTGCAGGTAAGCTACTATTGAATAATTCGCATGGGGACTACTGCGGTCGCTTTTCAGCAGTGGAAGCTTATATTAAGGTTGTTTAACGTAGGGTGGGTCTACGGCGATCCTTTTGCAACTGTCCAAAGCGTATGGTGCCATAGCTTGAGCCGCATACATACAACTGCGGTCATTCTTCACCTAAGGAAGAAATGGTCATAATGGATTAGTCAAAGGGCCGGTCCACAGCGATCGTTTCGCAAGTGTTTGAACGTATGCTACCATAGACTAAGCCGCATACCGACTACTGCGCACGCTCTTCAGCTGTGAAAGCTAATGTCAAGGTTAATAAACATAGGATGGGTCTAAAGCGATCATTCCCTAACTTTCCTAAGCTACGCTGGTCTAAAGAAAGCCGCAAGAAGACTAATGTCGTCGCTCGTGACCTAAGCAAGCCTATGTGAAGTATGGCAAACCAATGGTCGGTCTACAGCGATCGTTTCTCAACTCCTAAGGTATGCAAGGGTACATTTAGCCGAAACTCCACTACTGCTGTCGCTCTTCAGCCGTTTAAGCCTAGGTCAAGGTTGATTAACCATGGCTCGGTCTGCAGCCGTCGCATCTCAACCGTTGGAGACTATGATAATCTAAGTGAGGCAACATGGGCACTGCAGATCAGATAAAATTGAGGTCGGATGAAACAACAAATATGTAGGGCCATAACCTACTCAAATAGGTATAGCAGGTATTATTTCTAGGCAACGGATATGTGGGTGCCCTCTCCCGATTGTTACCCCCTATGGTTCAGGAATAGTAGTGTAGGCAGATGATTGTCTTTTCGCACAAACATGGATGCAAACCCTCATCAGATCATCGAGGAATTTTCACAAAACCGAATTTGTTGTGGTCTACTGTCTAGGAAAACCCTTAATAGGTCAGTAGACAAGGTGTTTGGATCTGACCCCAGATCTTGATAGAAACCAAACCCCAGCGTCGCACAACCTCAGACGTATTTCTGAACGGACAGGAGAGAATGTCATTTCTCTATCATTTCCCTTTATAGTAAAAAAGACCATTTCCTGTACCGAAGTCAGACCCATACACAAAGAAAGTCTTGCCACGTGTTTGGTTCGTGCTACTCTAGTAAGGTCAGATCCTAACAGTAAACATCCACTGTCGACGGCTGGGATGTTTGGACAACGCTCTTGCCGGCGAGCACCCAAAGCTAATTCACAAAACCGGCGCCAGTATCCAGCACGATAACGCAAGACCACTTTCGGCCCGGCAGACCCCGGAAAAGATCCGAGACCAAGGTCGGGAATGTTTGCCCCGTCTGTCCTATTAACCTGATTGTACGCCAACTAATTATGCTTTGTTCGATTAATGCAGCCGAAAGTCTTTAGAAATATCGCTGATGTCAAAACAGAGCTCTTGGATTTCTCTGCACCAAAACAAAGAGGGTATTGAGATCTTAGATTGCAATGAAAAGCAGTGATTGCGACGGTAGCGATTATACCATTGATTTACAAATAAAACGCATATTGGTAGACACTTTCCGTGTCTTGAAGAAGGAGACACGATCGCCCGGACAAGAGTTTTATTAGCCTGACGTTTCGGATTCCTACTCGAAACAAACAAACAAAAAGGGCATAACTCAGCGGTGTCCCTAATATTTGACTGGATCGGATGGCCTTCGCTTCGTTCACTTCATATCCTATTGTGCCCAGGTTTGAGTGGTACCTTATGCTGTTTCTAACGTTTCGCTTCCACATACTTGACGGTTCATGACCCTCATGGTGTTTATTGTCTGCTTGCACTTTATACTTTTATCTCCTAGCGCGTTGCATGTGCTCGAAACTAAGAACGTAACAACTACTCGCGCATAAATAGGGGGCAATTCTCCCCGTTGCGAGCACTCAAATATAAATGTGTGCGCACTGAAATAACTTACTAATTTTGACTGTTTTATTAATTAAAAGGCGTGTAGTTTCGAGTTAGGCACATTACTTGACTCATTATGAGCCTCCAGGGGTCTATGGTTTTTAAACCTCCCATGTACTATATCGTCTGGGGTTTCGTGTGTTCTAAAACAAGAAAGTAGCAACTATTCACGGGCGTGAAGTGTGAACTTTCTAGCGTTGGAGGAGTCAGAGCAATTAAATATCAATGGGCGAGTTTTGCCTCGGTTAAGCATATAATTTCCCTCCGAGTTCGAAACAAATAGCTCAAGCACCATTACGAAGACGGTTTTCACAAATCCTACAAGCAATTAGTTGCTATTACGCTCCAAAAAATGGAAGGAGAATTCGGGTACGTTGCTGGAGAAGCACACTTGAAGAGGTTTTAGTAAGTGAGCTTGGTAGCATTCCTCAGGTCGGCGCATCGGTCAGCAGACGAAATGTCATTGGTCCGAACGCTGTAAGAAGGGCGATGGAGGTTGTCTAGAAAAAAACCTTTCACTTCGTAGGCCTTTCGTCACCGCATTTCCCCTTGGAGTAGTCTAACACATTTTAATGGTAGCAGCGGAACGCGCTCTGTGTCAAAAAGATGGGGCCTTAGACTTAATCCACAAGTTGTTACTAAAATTACTAGGCTTACGATTGATTTGGTTTTTAGCAGGCTGTTGTGCTTATAGGGGTTACATGGTACCATATTGGAAGAAAATTTGCTAGCTCAAAACCCAGTCAGATGTGTCGTCGATACTCCTCCGCGGCATTGCACAGTTGAAAGTGGTTCGGCTAATCAGTGGGCTCACCAGCATTCCCCGTGTGCTCCCTGGTAGATAATCGAGTTTGCAAATTGTCGTTTTTTAATTTTGTTTGTTTGTGAAAACCGGAATTGGATATGAATATTGGGAGCGAATTTCATTGCCTACAGCTGGACAACCGCGTAATATCCTCTAGGGAGCCAACAGGCAGCTACAAGCATAGACTAGGCTTACAGGGTACCATATTATTAGAATGAGGACTAGCTAAAGGCCCAGACACGTGTTTCATCAATGTTCTGCCGCTGTGTGGAACAGCTGCAAAGGATTCGACTCATAAGTGGGTCCTCTAGCATTACTCGTGGACTCTTCCTTAGAAATACTAATTTAGAAATTGTGCGCATGGAACGAGCCCTTATGCGCTGCGGCTCCACGGGTCTTCATGCGTCAGATAAACAGGCCGCATTCACTATATTTATGCCACGAATTGGTGTGCTCAATCCTTCGGCTAGTTGAAAGTGTCTAACTGACAGCAGCGTGACCATCATGAAAGTCTGACTTTTGACAAAGTAAGAAGTACATTACAAATGCTCGCATTTTATTCCGGTCGAATTTGCTGTGGCGCCAGTCAGTACGCTTCGCGTGGGATAGAGGTCAGTCAGCTTAACACTCAGAAAAAGCCTGTTGTATTTTAAGTTAAAGAATTAGTTTAAGCAAGAGTGTACGAGACCTTTTCTAAACGGAAAAGATGTGTTCGATCACACAGCAGTGACAAAAAATCTTAACGTGTAGTCACAAATGTGATGAACAACTGATGCTGCATATGTCTTATAGTGACAGTTTGCTTGTCGTACCTGACGTTATCCACCATGTGCTTCTGAGCGAGGTTAGTGCTGGCACGGTGTCTTATATGTAAATTAATTTAAAGTGAGAGTAGACTTGCGCAGAGTCTACCGCAAGCACTCCACTTCACTTGGGCCCGGTGTCAAGACAGAGTCAAGAGAACCTGAGACCGAAGCGGACACAGGTGGCTGGCGCGACCAGACCCGCTCCTAAGCGCACCACTACACCCCTTGGTCCACAACAGACGCCTGACCAGGACTTTGACCAACAATAAAATAAACGGGTCAGAAAGAGGAGAATGACTTGTCAACCTTGCTCACGACCCGTATACCCAGTGGGAGCTCAATAGCATCTACCGGCTGGGAACCATGTGTCAAAGATGAGTTAATGAACACAGACTGCGAGGGCTATAGTTAGCTAAATCATAGCATAGCAGGCACATGCAATCCGTAAGATCTTTTTTTCTTGTAAAAGAGTATGAATACGCGAACACTTTATTTTACCTTAATAATTCTTAAGTAGAAAATATGCGTTCGACCTTACAGTGGTAACAAAAAGATAACAAGAGGTCACAAATGTGATGGACAACTAGTGCGCCGTATGTCTTATAAAAGCGTGTGGCAACGCAAACTAGATGTATTTTGGGTTAATAATTCCAAAAGTACCAATAACAAAATCGAACCTTTTGATTAAGCCGATTTGGCATTGGATTTTACACTGAATCTCTTTTATTTCTTGAAATTGACTTGGAATTCGCCGTCGTTGGCCACCTATTGTAACATTTGCTTAAGAGTGATTGAACAGTCAAATTAAAATATGTAAAGGGGACAGGAATCAGGAAACAAGGGGCAAACGTCCACAATGTGGTACATTCTTATATCAGCTGGATAGTGACTAATATGAAGTAAGGTCGTTGTGGTTTGGAATTTTTTTTATTCCTGCGGCATTGTAGACGCCACTGTAGCTTCGAGTTCAGTTTTACAAACCTACTTAATTAATCTTTTGGGAACGAAAACGCATTTCGGAATTCCCAGTAACATTTCGTGAGTTAGCATACCTACAGTACTTATGAGATACAGCAGGCTCGTATATATGCGATTTTTCTGTTTCTTGATTATAAAAATAATTATTGTGCTGGCGATATAGCTGAAAATACATGATTGTATATAGACGAAACATTTAAGGGGATCTAGCGTGTTTCCCTGAAATAGGCCAGTAAAAATGGCAGAGGTTAAACTTTCGCTCCCATCCTGAATAATCTGATGGACAATGTGCGAATATCAAAAAGAGGTTGGTGTTTTCCATGCTTTAATGGTTTCCATATAAGAATTTAGTAGAAAAATCTGTCAAAAATTGTTTAAATCAAATAACATTGCATATTCGTTTTTGCAGATTTCCTAAAACTAAACTCTAAGAATGTGAGAAAATGGAACTGAGCAGCAAATGGAAGCTGGGCGATAGTAATTAATTAGCATTTGGGCAATAACCAAAGATCTGAAATGAGAATCGGGATACATTTCATGCGCTTCGATTTACATAAAGGGATTGTATCCGTTCATTATGATTACTCTTTCGAGGCATTCCTTAGAGCTGTTTAGCAATTTCATATCAAAAACTGATTTATTTGAAGGCGTTTGCTGCTAATTAATCGAGAAGAAAGAATTTAATGAATTGTTTTAACGCTGGTTATTGAGATCCCGACTTTTCAAATTATTTCTTATGCTCTGAAAGCTCTAGACTCTCTTTTGTACCATTCTAACGGACAGTGCTTTGCGGCTCGTTCGTTTCTGCCTCATTAGTTCATTTAGGCATTGACCTTCGGTGGGTAGACATGTTTCTAATAGGTAATCGCATAAGCGATGATTGCTTTACCTTTTTAAAACCCTCTACCGAGGCAGCTGCTATGTTCATCAGTCTGTGTGTAGATCACTTTTCTATAAGGGTATCTCGGTCGCCATGTAATAGGGAGTATAAGACCTAGTTACCTTTGTGAGCCCCAGTCTAACGAACTGATATACATGGCTATCCATTTAGTCTTTATCGGATCCTTGGAGAGTATGTGTCTGGTTCCATTTTTTGCGCTATTTGTACGTCTCTGAAGATCAAAACCATTGCCGCCGTGTGATCGAATTTAAAGATTTTGTTGCCAGAAAACGTCTGCGTGTGCCAAGGTGCATAAATGAGCAAAACTTGTGATGTGTTCTTTTCTCATGCGACTTTATTAGTAATATGTGTTCATTTACGGTGTTTATAGGTAAAAAGATTTGTCATTTCTTGCTGGAGGAGAATTAAAGTTGGTCCGCTTATTTTCACAGCAGCTCAAGTTACTGTCCACTATTTTAGGTTCGATCGTTACTTATGTTTTCTCCTAGTCAGTGACCAATAGTTATATCATTTTTTGTAGTCGGTTGAAGACTGGAGGCAGTCAACAAGTAAACTTATTTGAGTGCTGTCTGTACCGAAGCCGATTAGAATAAGCGAGCAACCCACATATATAAACTATTCTTAGTGTTACAAGCAAGCAGGGCTTCCGGCGATACTGCGACATATACTTGTATGTAACTTATGTTTAACTCCAAACCAGGTCGATCATTCAAACCTTCCAATGCGCATATAAAACGGCGACAATTTACTGACTCACAACTCTCGTCCTCGCACTGTCTGTTTTAGCCACCAGATTACATCCACCTTGCCGTCTCGCGCCCTTGAAATTCATGTCCGGCAGTGGTGGTAATGGAAACCAGGGTGACTGCATTATACACTGCCTTTAACTACAGCTTGGATAATGTTACTTACTAGGAAAATAAAGAAGACGTGAAGCGTGTTCATGTTCACCGTGTCCTTAAATCGTAATTTCAGAAACGTCTCTCAATGCCTAATCTCAGAACGTCATCCTGTTGCTAACGCGACCGATTTAAAGCTCGTAAATACTTACTGTTGTAATCACACGGTGGCCGATACGGAAAATTTTATTAAGACAGACACACAGCGGCTTGACATGTGCACTACTAAAAGGTAATTTCGTTCTTGCAGGCCCGACAGCATCTGTTTGCTGTAAGAAACGCCAACCGGAACAGCCCTGTGACTCAGAAACTGTATTAAAATGAATAGAAAACTGCTGTTTGTGGTAAATAAATACGTGCAATTTCTCCTTCCTCATTCTTCTTCTTCTTCTTCTTCTTCTCCTCCTCCTCCTCATTCTTCTTCTCTTCCTCCCCCGCCTCCTCCAGAAAAAGTAAATGTCTCCTGGACGGTTTTATGCGTAAAAACTCCACTTTTTATGCGCGCGAGATTTGGTTGCCTCCGCCGAAGCCTGCTGTCGGGTTCTAGATTGAATGCCCAGAAAATCCTGTATGGGCTTCCAGCTTACAGTGCATGACCGATCTCATGAACTGTTGGCCAAAATTCTGAAATTCGTTTTCGATTAAGAAGGATTACTTAGGTGGGGTTGCGAGGTTGATTATCCCGCGGCATGATCCTATGGTATTGTGGGTTCGGTGGGATGTCGGCTTTTGAATGCCCTTCTCTTCAATCTCCTGTTAAAACTGTACTTGGCAAAAAATGACTATTCAAGTAGCATGCATTATTCACACTGACTTTTGATGGATTTATAAATTCAAATATATTTTGTAAAAAACATAAACAAAAATATTCCTTCTTTCACTCTTTTGCTAGAGAATCACGTCAAATTCATATGTTATGGTCGAAGAAAGAGTATAATTGGGTTTTTAAAAAGTTTCTAATTATGACATTTTGAAGACGGTGCAATGTCTATTCACACAGCATCGCACCTAACCGTTAACCACTGGTACTCATGAAATGAACAACATAGTTCGCATACACTGCACAATTTTTGAACTGGATATAGTATCATTTGAGAGACATGGAAGCATATGTGATTTTCTCCACGTGGAACGCATGCACCATGAAATAACTAAACGCTAGTGCAATGACTGAGTAGGCTTCAAATTATTCGGAAACTAGAAAACATTTTTAAAAAGTAATTGCACTCCTTCGATTATAAAATGTAAAGCGACGAGATTCTCTATTAAACGACCGAAAGCAAGCGTATTGTTGTTCGTGGTCTCTGCAAAATATATTTGAATTTGCGAGACCACCGAAAATCGATGTGAAAAATGCATGCTATTTAAGCAGTCATTTTTTACCGAGTACGTGTTCTACAGAGATTAAACGGCAGCCCATTCAAAAGCTGATATTCTACCAAGTCCGAAATGCTATGGCGTTAGGCCTAAAGGTAATCAGTACTAGAACCGCGCCTAAGCGATCCTTCCTAAACGAAAACGCATTTCAGAATTTAAGCCAATATTTCTTGAGATCGGTCACACACTGTGAGATTCCAGTCGCCAGCTCGGAGAACATGCATTTGTGTTATGCTCAGGATTAATTAGACGATTATCTGCATTTAAGTGCCTGCGACAGGACCAGGACGCTTTGAAAATGGTAAATTGTACATTTTTCGGAAATCAGCAATCCTGTACTCTCCACCTTGATGAACTGAAGAACGTCTTACGCCTGTTTCCATTGGCTATTCGCGTGCGCATAAAAAGGGCGTAGGCCGAACACACGAACGCACCCACGTATTCCGTATCGGCTTTGGGGCACCATCAACTAATGTTATTTCTATCGGAAGTAATCAGACATTGCTGTTCGACAGGTGTTTCAAGGATGACCAAGCGCAAGGTGATTGTACTATACGCATTCTCAGCAATGACAATCCTAGTTCTACTATTTAATATGGAAGAAGTAGGTTAATGTTTAAAGATACATGGTACAGGATTGGTTTATCAGCAGTCCAAGCCTGTCCGGATTATTAATACCTGAAGTGAAAAGCATTTACAGACATCATCTACAGGCACTTTCTTCATCCATAGTTTGCTCCCGTCAGGAACCCTACGACCTCACTTTCTGTTTTTCAACTAGTAAGGACGCTAATACGGTGAGCATTGAGAGGATCTGTCGTCTGGAATACGAATTGTTCAATTCTAGCGGAAACAAATGCATTTCCTACGATATGCTGCAAATCATGCCGGACAACATTTTGGCCACGGCTCGTCGTCCAGCTATATACTCGATCTACCCACAGGATGTGCCTCTGAAAATCATTGTGCAAGCGGTTAAGAACCACAGCCCAGTTCCAGTGGTACATACTCTATTGTGTATAATTTAATACAGTTGTTCTATTTACGGCGTTTATCGACTAGTTCTCGGGATTTGCATGCCTCGTCTGGCTCTGGATTTTAATCCCGAGCCCCGGCGAGGAGTATCGACAGAGACAGTAGAGAATGGGATAGCCATCATTGGCCCCTTGGTCATCGCTAGACCGTCATGCCTATTGCCAAGTATTGAGGACTTGAGGACCGAGTCCGGACTCTTTACTTACATATATATATATTTGAAAAAGGAGACCCGACAATGATAAGAAAGATTTGGATGACGATTTCCGACGTATTACTTGTCGTCAAACAGGCGTACAGCAGCTTCAGGTATAAATGACTTGAAAATTGAGCATATTTCCTAAAAAAGTTGATAAGCTTCACTCTCCCAACGACTTGTATGCACATACGCAGTAGGTGTATTTGCTTATGAAATTCTAACCGAAATTTTCAATATAGTGTGTATTCGAAAAGGCGGGGTTGTAATATTACTTACCGCGCAGCATACTCTCACGATATTGAGTTAGCTTTCGGACGAACCCTTTTCCAGCCGTCAGCATAAACTACTCTCTGTGGCAAATGATTTCTTAATGAGCACTGCTTTTCCCCGTTAATATTCGATGTGTTTATAAATTTAAGTTTATTTTTTCGAAAACAGACGTATCCACTCTTGCACGTAATTTACAGAAAATTACTTCTTCTTCAGACTTTCTGTCTGAGATAAGCATGTCTTTCGCTTTTGAAAATTTTCTACTCATGAGAGTTTCATGACCTCAAGATACCTATCCATAAGGCATTTTATTTATGCATTAATTAATACTTCTTATAAAGTAACAAGTTTATAAGCCTTGTTTGACGCTTTCAAGTAGTATACAAGGATGTAGGATCACTTGAGATTCAAACCCGGATCAAGCGCGGATTGACCACGCTCCGTATCCTGATCGGTGAGCGTCAGTCTGTCAAAAGTGATATTTCCTATCACAACCGAGAGGATAACAGGAACCGTGGCTCAATGGTAGAGCGTTAGACTCCATGACCAAAGATCCCGGGTTCGAATCTCAAGTTATCCACACTTGGGGTTGGGTATGACTGGCTGATGACGGCTAATAAGCCAGAAATGGCCTTTCCGGTCTCCTTGTCTTAGTCGGCACCATCTGATATATATATATATATATATATATATATACAGTGCGTGACCTATCTCATGAAATGTTGGCCAAAATTCTAAAATCCGTTTTCGATTAGGAAGGATTACTTGGTCGCGGTTGTGATACTGATTATCATAAGGCATACTCTTATAACATTTTGGATTCGGCTAGATGTTGGCTTTAAAATGCACTATTTTTCAATCTCCTGTGGAAGGCGTGCTCGGTAAAAAATAACTACTTAATTAGCATGCATTTTTCCCATTGATTTTCGATGGTCTTGGAAATTCAAAACATTTCATAGAAACCATAAATAAAAATATGCTTTCTTTTAGTCAATCAATAGAGAATCACGTCTTCTTTATATTTTATTTTTAAGGAAGGAGCATAATAAGGTTTTAAACAAGTTTTCTAATTGCCGAAAAATTTAAAGCCCGATCATTCGCTGCATTAGCGCTTAGTGATTACACTCTACAAGATGCATTCGTTCCGCGTAAAGAAAATCCCATATTTTTCTATGTCATTAAAAAGATATCATACAGGGTCCATAAAATTTTGCAATGGATGCGGACCATGTTGTGCATTTCATGAGGAGCAGTGGTAAACGGCCAGGTACGATGCTACGTGAATGGACATATCGCGGTCTTAAAAAGTCTTATAATTAGAAACTTTTTTAAAACCTAATTATACTCCTTTCTTAAGTATAAAATATAAAGAAGACGTGATTCTCTATTGATTGACTAAAAGAAAACACATTTTTGTTTGTGGTTTCTATAAAATATATTTGAATTTTCAAGACCATCGAAAATCAATGGGAAAAATGTATGCTTATTAAGTAGTCATTTTTACCGAGCACTCTTTCTACAGGAGATTGAAAAGAAATGCATCTTAAAGCCGACATCCTGTCGAGTCTAAAATGTTATAAGAGTATGCCTTAAGATAATCATTATTGCAACCGCGACCAAGTAATCCTTCCTAATCGAAAACGCATTTCAGAACTTCAGGCAACATTTCATGAGATAGGTCGCGCACTGTATATATACATATATATCAATCAGGAATGGGCGCACACCGATCTATTGGCTTCACAAAGCAAACAAGCTCCGTATGTGTGGCAAAGGTCACGAACAGGCAACCAATTACCAGGCCGAAGTCGGCCAAGTCATAATAGCAGCGAGGAGGGACGACAGAGAATGCGGGTAGATTGATACAGCACTGTTTCGGGCTTATTCTGCCTTCATTCAGCCAATCATAACCCTGACCACCAGCAGCCGATAGGCCGATCTCAGGAAATGTGGGCTGAAATTCTGAAATGCGTTTTCGATAAGGAAGGATTGCGGAGGCGCGGTTGAAATAGTAATCATCTTGCGACAAAATCCTATCATACTTCGAACTCGGTAGGATGTCAGCTTTTGTATGCACTTCTTTTTAATCTCGTGTAGAAACCGTACTCGGTAAAAAATGACTGCTTATGTAGCATGCATTTTCTACAGTTGATTTCCGATGTTCTTGTAAATTCAAATGTATTTTATTTAAAAAAATGAAAATAAATACGCTTTCTTTCAGTCGTTTTATGGAACATGACGTCGTCTTCAGGTTTTATACTCGAAAAAGGGTATAATTAGGTTTTAAAAACGTTTCTAATAATGAGATTCTTTAAGACTGTGCAATTTCAATTAATACAGCATCGCATCTGTCCGTTTACCACTACTCCTCATGAAATGTACAACGTGATCCTCATCCATTTTAAAATTTTATGGACTCAATGTGGCATCTTATTCAAGGCACAGATGAATACAGGATTTTCTTTACGTGGAACGCATGTGCCTTGTAGACTGAAATCACTAGGCGCTAATGCAACGGCTGATCAGTCGCCAAATTATTTGGGAATTAGAGAACCTTGTAAAAACCTAATTATACTTCTTCTGCTGCTTCAAGTGTAAAATATCAAGATGACGTAATTCATTATCAAATGAGCAAAAGAAAGCATTTTTTGTCTATGTCTTTTTTGAAGTAAATTTTGCATTTATAAAACCATCGAAAATCAACGCGAAAAATGCATGCTACGTAAGCACTCATTTTTTACTAAGTTCGGTTTCTACAGGCGATTGAAAAGAAGTGTATACAAAAGCTGACATCCTTCCAAATTCGAGATATTATTGGATTATGCCTCAAGATAATATGTATTAAAACCCCACCTTGGTAATCCTTCTCAATCGGAAACGCATTTCGGAATTTCGACTAACATTTCGTGAGATCGGCCACTCACTGTATACATTGTTTTTAGAAAACATTAGTTGAAAGTATAATTTTTCTGATTGTTTCTAAATATGTAATTCAGAATACACGCGTTCGAAAATAAATGCGTCATGCATTATAGTCCGGATTTTCCCTTTCGCGTTACCTTTTTACGGTATTGCCAGCTCAAGCATATTTGTGATAAGCAGAAATCCTTTCGAAAATAAACAAAAAGCTGGTTTCCCATATATTCATTGGTCAACTTAATGCTTTTCCATTCGGTTACTTTTGCGAGTGTTATTCAAGTTTTGAAAACGTGTGAACCCTGCGTAGCTCCAAAATATAGAATTTATTCACAAATAAAATGTGTGCGGGCGGAATGGCGGATTTCTACCTTGAGTCAATTACCATTATAATTCAGGTGACATTTGATTACATTTCATTTGAATCGATCTTGCTAAATAACGCAGGTTCCACTTGACAGGTCCGCATCCAATTAACTAAACTTAAGCTCAACACACTTTTAAACGGGCTGTGTTCAGCTTCTGATATTGAGATAATATGAATGAAAAAGACACCTCCTTTTAATCCGGCAAACATAATCACATATCACAATAATAATTCCCATCATGCATGCAAAGCTGTTCATTTCCACACAGCAACCAACACTTTATTAAATCTACAAACATATTATTAGCAGCTCACCAACGCTTAACTTTAGATCCCCATCAATAATCCCAAACTTGTGCTGATACGCACCAGTCGGTCTGTCTGCCACTACACTGGCAATCGAATTCGCGCACGCTACGAATTAATCATCATTGTCAAAAGCTCACCGGCCAATGGGGCACGCCGATCTCAACTGCGTCGATTAATCAATCGTCAAACGGTCCATCTGCGCAGGCCCGTTGCACTCCTCTTCAGTCTTGGCCTCCCGCCTGACAGCGCCAATCGATCCCTGTTGCTGGATGCCATCAGCTTTGAGGCCGCCCGCTTCGATGACATTCTCCTGGCCGACTTCACAGACACATACTACAATCTGACCCTGAAGACCCTGCTGAACCTCCGATATGCTCATTTGGTCTGTCAGGGAGCCTCTCCGCTCTTCGCCTTCATGGATGATGATCATGGCCTCAATCTGTCAGCCATCCTCGCCTATTTCCACACATTTGATAAGGAGCACAGAGGGCAGCTACGACAATCTGTCTTCGGTCACATTTACGACCACCCACTGGTTATCCGTCAAGCGGGGAACAGGTGGGCCGTAACGCGAAGGGAAATGCCATTTTATATGTATCCAGAGTTCGCCGCTGGTGCATGCTACTTTATTGGCGCTGAGGCGGTGGAGTCTCTGTCCATAGCGACAGCCTTCACCAAACGCTTCTCCTTGGAGGATGCATATGTGGGTTTGGTAGCGGCGAAGATGGGGATCAAAATGCACAAATTACCAGGTGTAGAACATCACGGTCCTGAGGAAGGTCTGGAACCGGCGCAAAGTCCGATGGTAGCGTCCTTGGAGTACTTCGAGAAGCATATGCCCTAGAACAACACGTATTCTTCTTCTGTATGTTTATTTTGTCGTCCAAACTGTGCACGGTTTTGAGTCATTTGGACTCGAGAAATGACTGTGGTTACTTACAAACATATCAAAGACGGCTTTAGTGGTTTTGGGCTTCCTTCCTCCAGTATACCAGAATCTTTTTGCTGCATGGCAAGCCGAATTGTATTGTGCCTACCTAATGCCCTTTGCCATAAATACGGAGAAAACCCTTGATTGTGGGGCGATTGTGATTTGTACGTTAACGAGAAATGGATTATTTTCCATTGTCAGTTGTACTGCACCCCTATTTTGCAATTCTTTTTATTTGAGCACTTGTTGCGACATCTCACCCAATTTACTGAATATCTGTAGGCATAGCTTACGGATGGTCATGCAAATCCGTCAGAGTACCGCGGAGGTTCGGTGACAGACTTTCATGCGATTCATTTGGCTAAATTGCAAAAAACTCGGCAACCTCGAGACAGGCAGGGCAAGACTTTGGCAGAATCGACGCTCTAACCATCTGACCGACGAGGTCTTGCCGAAAACCGTGGGTTTAATCGCATTTGGTGGATTCTAGACTTATTGTTTATAAAATCGTACTGGGGCGGGCAACCAACTGTAGCAAAGTTAGTGGATTCCATACTTTGCGACAGGCTGGGCAGGTTACTTTACCTGCTCCCATTGGGAGCTCCTAGCTCAGGTGTTTGGAAGGTTGACTGTACTCAAGCCTTGACATTCTTTTTTGTGATTTGGAGTTTTCGCCCAGTTTTTCGCAATTGACTACTAGGATGCCGTGAGCTCCGTCTTAGCCCAGTCCATCCATGTTCTTAGTCGTCCACCTTGACGTTAAGCATGTTGACCATCATTTCTTTTGCATGATAGCAAGTCATCGGTACCTTCGGTGTGCTGGGAAACGGTCCGGCAACCTGTCCAACCAGTTCAGAAGAAAAAGAAGAAGAGGCGATCAGTGGAACAAGAAGTTTATTGGCCTGACACTTCGGACTCTCACTGGCCACTAATTTGTCCTTATAATTATCCATGAAGTATAAATTGGACAATTTCCTCCAAAGGCTCAACAAGTTATGCTGCATTTCGTGTGACAGACGAGTTTCAGTCACATGGGCGTAATTGACATCTATTTTTTGAACAACTAGTACGCCAGCAAAGGGATTTTACATTCAAGAAGGCCATATATTTGCCGAAAATGATTTCATATTGACCAAACTGTGAAAAACTGGGCGCCTCGATTGGATGCGAACCCACGCACTAAGGGGAAGGCTTTAGTATAGCCAACGCTCTAACCACATGAGCTACGAGCTCCGCCCTACGACGGGAGTTAAATCACATTTGGGTCAACTTACCCGCCCAACCTACTGTAACATATGAAATCCACAAAATCTGATACAGTAAATTGACTGGCCAAGCAGGATTTCTTAGGTGATTTGATATCTTATTTCTTGAGTAAAAAAGAAATGGTATTTTGCGTGTATTTCGAAAGCCATTGTGAAATCAATTCTACTCCGTAAGTTCAATCACATTTATGTCAAGTTATCCACCCGAACTACTGCACCCTATTGAATCTCCCGATTCTGATACTGTACGTTGACTGGTCAAGCAAGATTCCTTAAGCAATCGAGCTAGAATCCGCCAGATGACTACCGGCCTCAAGATTTGCCCTCTCTGCCGTGGGTTCGAATCCTACTGTGAGTGACCAGTCTCACGAAATGTTGGCCAAAATTCTGAAATGCATTTCCGATTAGGAAGGATTACTGAGGTGGGGTTGTGATGTTGATTATTTGGCGGCATAATCCCATAGTGTATCGGATTTGGTCGGATGTCGGCTTTTAAAAACACTTCTTTTCAATCTCCTTTTCAAACTGTACTTGGTAAAAAATGACTACTTACGTCACATGCATTTTTACATTTGATTTCCGATGGTCTTGTAAATTCAACTATATTTTATGGAAAACATGAACAAAAGTATACTTTCTTGCACTCGTTTGCTAGAGAATCATGACAAATTCATAGTTTGTACTCGAAGGAAAGTACAATTAGGTTTTAAAAAGTGTCTAATTATGAGATTTTTAAGACCGTGCAATGTTCATTCACACAGCATCGCACCCGTCCATTTACCACTGCCCCTCATGAGATGTGCAACATAGTCCGCATCCATTGCAAAATTTTATGAGCCCAAAATGGCGTCTTTTGCAAGGCCCAGAAAAATATATGATTTCCCTTACGTGAAACGCATGTGCCTTGTAGACTGAAATCACTAGGCACTAATGCAACAGCTGATCAGTTTCCAAATTATTCGGAAACCGAAATAGCTTTTTTAAACCTAATTATACTCTTTCTTCGAGTATAAAATATGAGTTTGACGTGAATATGCTGTGCCGGCCGACTTCCAGCCCATCTGTCCGTCGAGTGGGGGCGTCAACCAGCAGCAATCCTATCCCGAGGCTTGACGTCACCCGTGCAACAGGTGCCGCATGGAAACCGAGTCGAGACGCACACTTCCCACTTGCTTGGGAGGTGGCAGTTGGGTGCTTGTGGTGGATGATGTTGATGTGTGATGGGGTGGTGGTGGTGGTGGTGGGAGGGAGGGTGTGATGGTGCAGCGGGTGGTTGCCTACCGCGGGTTTTCACGAATCCGCATGTGGCCGAACAGACCCATGCGGTGCATGAATGTGCAAAGGCAGTGTGGAGAGTGAGAGCGGTTGAGGCGAGTGCAGTTTGTTACTTCAGGCAGTGGTTTATTAGTCTTTGAGTGATTAATTTGCAATTGACCGACCAGGCCTATGTGTGAGGCGAAGGTGCGTGGAGAGAATGGGTATGAGAGGTCAGTTTCAGTTGCGGAGATGGTGACGGTAATGTTGACTGGCCTCCAGTAGGAAGGAGTAGGGGTGGGGCTGGGCATGTTTTGTGTGTTGGATGTGGTGGGTATTTCCGGATTGCAGTCAATTCCGCTCTCGTGGATGCGCATGTGGCCGAACAGACCCATGCGGTGCTTGAAAGTGCGAGGGAAGTGAAGAAAGTGGAGGCGTGTGCGGTGGGTGTTTGTTGGTGCTCCAGGCACTGGTTCGTCAGTCTCTGTGCGATGGATTCGCAAGTGACCGATCAGGCCGATGTGTGCGATGAAGGTGCGGAAGCAGTGAGGGCAGGTGTAATCACGGTCCTCACCACTGATGCCGGCGGTGGTGATGTTGATGTTTGAAGATGTGTCAGGATTTTGTGTAGTGTTGACGAGCGTGGCAGGCGACAAGACGGCAGGTGCTGGGGCAGCGGGGGAAGAGGATGAGGAAGAGGAGCAGTAGATGGAGGTGGAGGATAAAGTGAAGAAGCAGGAGGAGGATGATTGGGAGGAGGAGGAGGATGGCAGTGGTGGTTCAGAAGAGCGGTCAACGTTAGTTTGCGACGAAGAGGACGAGCAAAATGCGGACAAAGGGAGGACGATTGGTGTGGTCCGAGTGGCGCAGATGATACGGAGGTGTCCAACAAGTCCAATTCGTTCCCGTAATGTCCGTTGATACTGTGGACACGTTGTGGACGTTCGTGTGCTGGCATGGCGAGGTGAGCGCAGATGTGATTTTCGTGCATTTGTATCAGCATAGTGTAGATGCTGTAGCGGCTAAGCGGTGATGGTGTACGCTCAATACGCCACAACTTCAGGCCATATCCCAAGTTGTTAGAAACAGGACGCCATTTGGTTAGGACACTTTATTCTGTACAGAATAGTGAAGGGGAAAGTTGGCAACCGGACGAGGATGCGTCCGGCGCCGCGGAAGCGGCGTCCGCGAGGGCGACGAGCCCTGTGTCGCCGAAGGTCACCGCTGCAAAAGTGTCGTGACAAATTGTTTACGCTAGTGTTCTGGGCTGTTTCCGCCTGTCTTACCAATCAGCGATAGTAGGTGCGTTAATTGGCTCCAAGCCCGCTCGAGGGTAATGAGAAGCCTCGCATGGTGCAGGCAGAGTATCGACCAGATGCGTGGTGCAGACAGTGAATTGCAACAAGTCAAATCGAAGGCGGGCAGACGTGCGTGCCATAGCAGGCTGTCGCTAGGACTTAGGTGCAGGCGCTAGCGAGAGGCGCGACGTAGCCACTATGGCTGTCCGCTACAATGCTCAGGACTCCCGGGCAGGATGGTAGTTGGTAGCCCTGCTCACTGATTCTACAATTGTACCTACTGGCTCGATTTCGGTATCTGTGATAAAGTTCTTATTATGTCTGGGGGGTGCACGCGCAGAGGCCCTGTCAGGATGACTTTCTTCTTCACTTTAACCGCCCCGAGAACGAGGCGCTGCAAAAATGTCTATATAGACTCACTGTATTGCACCCCCACACGGAAATCTTTAGTAAAAGGTGAAAGATTTATCCTAAACGGATTATGATTCAACATGCTTCCCACTATGCTTCTAATTGCATGTGCGCACAGTTTTAACTGCATCAGATTAATTGCATAGGTACTATCCTAGGCGGATTGGCGCGGGTCTCCGTTTCGTCGGTTTGCCTGCATCCTTGGGTCTTTTTACTCCAGACCTCCCGTAGAGTTCGGTGCGATCGTGTACGTAAGGACAACCGACGCTCAGTTAGGGTGTCTACCGATACTCCATCCACTGCATCAGTCGTATTGACAGAGTTTTGCCCTCCCCCCCGCCTTTACGGATGTATTTGGTCGCAGGGGTTTGGCTGAAAACTGTGACGCCTTGTAAACACCGCCATGGCCAGTTAGCGATCCTTTCCTGCACTTCCAGTTTAAGACACTACGACACCCCCCGGACGCTTCGACAATGCTGGGTTTGAACTGGGCGCACTTCACCTACAACATCGCGCACTTACTATATCATGGGTTCAGACTAAAACAACAAGGCGTCTCATACGCCCGTCAGATCCGAAGTGTTCACCTTCCTCGCATTTTTCACCTTATTTAAATTCGGTTTCGAATTTATCAAGATCGTCCATTGCAGGCATTCCCTACAAGCGCCATTTACGCCTCCACTCATGTGCCCCACCCGTATAGCCCCTATTACCATCGGTCCTGTAAGTCAGGTAGCTGGGAATTTTCGGTACCGGGAGGGCTACCAACTACCATCTAACCGACTCCCGTCCGTTCCAGTACATCCGTGTCGGGGATTCGATCCTGCCACCTCAGTCTCAGGATGCGACGAAGACAACTGACTTGGAAATGGTCGAGTCGGCGTGTCTACATCGTGTACACCTTCCAGGTCTCCACTCCGTACAGCTGCGTCTGCAGGAAGACGACCACGTACATATTCAGCTTCGTGCAGAGCTTGAGACCATGACGATTCCAAACTGTGTTTGAAGGCGACCGAAGGGCTGACTGGCTTTGAAATCCTGCGGACGACTTTGCCATCGATTCTAGTGCTGCGGGAGAGGGAAATACCGAGATCCTGGAAGTTGTCCACCACTTGCAGTTGGGTTCCGTTCACGCTGATTTGCGGCGGCGGCGCGTTGGGAGGACTGACTGTGTCGGGTGGCGGTTGATGCATGACCAGCTTCTTCTGCGTGTTGATGACCAGACCGTAGTTCTCGCAGGCGGCGAAGAAGAGGGTCATGTTCCGTTGCATGTCCTCTTCGTGAGGTGGTGTTCAGGGCGCAGTCGTCAGCAAAGAGAAGTTCGTGAACGGTGGTTGTGGATACGCGCGATTGGAAGTGCATCCGCCGTTGCTTGAGGATGTGACCGTTCGTCCTGTAGGCGATACGAATCCCGGGGCGTTCATCAGGGTAGGCGTCCATCAGCACGGCGGCGAACATAAGATTGAATAGGGTAGGCGCCTCGACGCATCCCTGCTTGACTCCGTTGGTCACGATGAATGCCTCTGAGACAGCTCCGTTGTCCGCGACATTTGAATGAATCGCTCGGGACAGCAGAATTTCTACATAATCGTCAGAAGTCCTTCACGTTTCACCTTGTCGAAGTCTTTCGTCAGGTACATGAAGGTAGAGTGCAGGTGGGTCCGCATCTCCTGACACTCCTCTTGGAGTTGACGAGCGGCGAAGATCACATCCGTGGTCACGCGATGACGACAGAAGCCACGCTGGCTATCCGATAGAAGGCCCTGTTCCAGATGATTATTTAGACGTTTGTGGATGATGCGAGCGAAGATCTTGCCAGCGATTTTCGGCCAGGAGATGCCTCGCTGATTGTAGCGTAGCCGGCGGCGTCGAAAATGGTGGAGAGACGACTGAGGACGGCACGGAAGTGTTCGGCCCACAGCTGTAGAAATTGTGTCTTCTCAGTCAGGAGGGTACTGCCATGGGCGCTGAGGAGAGAAGTGCCTTCGGTCGACGGACCGTAGACAGTTGTAATCGTAGAGAATACGTTCTTCCATTCGTTGTGTTCCGCGTAACAGAAGATCTGCTTAGCCTTTCAAGCCGTCCAGGCATCCCGCATCTCGCGCATTTGCTGTTGTAGGAGGCGGCGACTGCGCAGATGGCAGCTCTGTTGTCGTCGGTGGGGTGGTCGACGTAGGCTTTGTGTAGGTGGTTTTTCTCGGCGAGCAGGTTGCTGATGGCGACTTCATCGTTGTCCTCGTGGAATTTGTTTCTTGGTGCTGCGTCAGGGTTGGTCATCGGCAGAAACGTAGACGCTGGCGATGTTGGCGAACTTGCCCCCCATCCCTCAGAGGCAGGCGGAGGCCCATCAAGCGATCGTTGATACCCTGCGGTAGACAGGGCAGTTGTACCATGATGTCGCTCCGGATGACGAGGACGACACCCACGTCTCATCGTTCTGCTTTTGGACGAATGCTCCAGAAGCAGGTGTAGCCGGCACCCACATACTCCAGTTGGCCTTCATCGGAGAACCAGGTCTCGCTGAGTGCGGTGATGTCGACCTTGTAGAGCGCCAGCTTGCGATCCACTAGCGCCGTTCCCTGTTCCGGTCGGTGCTCCTCGGATTGTTTAAAACCAGGCTGCAGATGGAGTGGACTCACTCTGTCACTGTGGCGAGTAGATCAGCGGGATGTTGAAGAAGAAGAAGAGGAAGAAGAAGAATAGGAAGAAGAAGAAGAAGAACAAGGAGAAAAAATGAAAGAATACGTAGGAGGAGGAGGAGGAGGAAGACGAGAGGGGGTATTATTGATGTCGTCCTGCTTCGCCAACAATCTTAAAGGCACCATTTCTAGACCCTTCGCTTTTTGGGAGCAGTGTCTCCCTTAAATAGTGCTGCCCTTATGTGCCGGCACGCCCGGACTGCGCTTTGGGCCACGAATTTTGTTGTAATAGAAGAACGACTCGATTTTGCCAAAAGCTTACGACATCGCCGTAAGCTCGCGGCCTCCTACGGTGCTCCAGACGGAGCCTCGTCTTGACGATGCAGACGCTAAGTTCCAATCGACCGGCTGACCAGCGGCGTACCAGACGGAGACTCGTCACGACTGTGCTGATGCTGGAGTTCCATGCGAGCAACTGCCCAGCTGAGTGCGCTTTAACGTGTGCGCGAGATTGATTGAGTGTGGGTGTAAGGAAGAGAGGAAGAAGGGCAGAGAGGATGAGGGATGGGAATGGGACCGGCATTACCCGATGTGCAGACGAATTTATCGTCAGGCCAATGTCAAACCCCACGAAAGTGAATACCGCCAGGCAAATGGTAGTGCATATTGGAAATACTGTTTACCATAATTCGTACATAGGTACTACCACGACCACATGCTTCCGCAAAAATAAAAACCCCACCACCACCACCACCACCACCACCACCACCACCACCACCACCACCACCAACAACAACAATGCCACCGCTAGTGCTACATAACGCCAACATAATTACAACAACCGAATGCTCGACCGACGCCACCGACAATATGCACTGTTTGATCCACAACATTGGGAGTGCGGGCATGGTGACTACTGCGCGAATTCGCTTATAGTCAATGCAGACTTAAGTATCATCTACCGCACACTCTCCTTCTCTCCACCCTAACCCGTTGACAAGACAGCATTAGGGAAACCAAAGTTAGGGTGACTGGTACTGCCGGAACCGATTCCAGGCGCAACACCTCACCGATAAACAGGCGCTGCGGTGGTTAAGGGATCCGGCTAGTAAACTCGCTCGCTCACTGGCAGACATATCCTCTTGAGCATTCAAACACTGTCGTCCATCGTGTCGCTTAGGAACATCAGGAGGCGGACGCTTTGTCCTGCCAGGCACAGACGCCACCGCAGCGACATATGTATGTCTCGGTGACTGCCATTACGATTGATGCTCCTGATCACTTGCGATGGTCGTCAACTCAAGCCGCAGACTCCTGTACGTACCGATTATCTATGATCACATTCGTCGCAGGGCATTGAAACCGCCTGGGAAACTCGGTGCCATTGGTCGGCGTGAAACAGCTTTCGTTTTTGCGACGACGTGCTATTCCTTCACTATTCTCCTGCCGATTCATCTCGTCTGGTCTAACCTCACGATGTGATCCATCTCACACTCTCTTGTCTCTATAGTGATCTGAGTCATGCTGGCCAGTCTCACACAGACACAGCCACGCGACAGCGCTTTTGCTGGCCAAAGCAACGTCTGGTCATCCAGGACATTTGCAACACCTGTGCCATATGTGTGGATGTCAAAATTCCCAACGCAGAACACAGCACACCAATGCAGCCAATTCAGGCAGGCCACAGGAACGAAACTGTCGGTGTCGACTTAATGGGTCCCGTGCCCCATTCACAGCCCGGAAACCGGCATATATATGTCTAAGTAGAACTTTTCACCAAGAGGTACGAGGCATTGCCTCTCACAGAGGCCGACACCATTACGGTAGCCAAGGTCATATTTGGACATTTTGTGTCCGAGCAACTCCATTCAGACCGTGGTGCTCAATTCGAGTCGCGCTTGTAAACACCTCCATATTTGTAAATCTCTCTCCACCCGTTGGCGTTCTCAAGGAAATGGGGGAGGGGGGCGAGTTCGGCGAACAAATAGGACACTCGAGGTGTTAATTCAAACTTTTCTAATTAGTTGTCCAGCCTCCTCCACGGATGCTGCTCTTCTGCCTCAGTGCATTCTTGCCTATCCATCTGCCACGCACGGGTTAACGACCCATACACCGCTTGCGATGATATACGGCGGCCCTGAGTTCCGCCTTCAACTGGACACTTCCTGTCCCCTTCCGGTTTCATCGCAATCTCATCCGAGTACATTCGTACGGAATCTCGGAGGTAGTCTCTACTGGTCAGATGAACTTGCCCGCACTTGCCACTCCGCGGCCCATCAACGACAAAAGCAGTGCTATGATCGCCGTACGCATCGCATGGTGGACCTCACCAAACTGACGACAAAGTATTCGGGTATCAGGGGTAGGGGTTGCAACCTGGGTCACCTGACAAATTTTCAAAACATTTCGTTGTCTTAGAATATTCTTCTCATTCTTTCTGTATCCTACGAGCCTCTGAAGATCCCGACGGTCCCAAATTTGCGGCATGCTTTGACAGGCTTAAACCGTATCCTTTGGATGACATCTCTGATTGTCCTACCTCTACGGATTTACCTGCGTTCTCATCCGCGGAGCTGTCGAGTTATCCCCTTCCTTCCCCACCAGTTGATAACTCCCATCCGATCCCTTTTCCCAGAGTTGCCAATCCTGCTTCGTTGACTGGGTTTAAACCCTCGCGGATTTTCCCCACTGTGGAAGTCCCCGCTGAAGGTGGTTTCAGCATTCCGATAGAATTAACATATGTACACCTATAACCGAGTGAACATCGGTCCTACAGGAAGGGGCAGTATGATGCAAGTTCATTATTACTCATTCGCCTACCTTAGTTACTTGTTGTAGTAACGGTGGAACCAATCCCGGCAAAGGCAATGGAAGACGATGTCTGATTGCACAACGGACAATTCTAATTCTTCATCGTATCGTGTGCGGTCGGATTTTCCGAACTACCTGTTTGTACATTATTTTCTCCGATTGAGCACTTTGTGGTTCGCCACCCCCCATCCCCACCAATTTCGTCCCAAAATAAACCATTTTCAATCAAAGACCTTGTCCGCTTATGAGCCACAATGCCACTACAAGTACAATCAACCACCAACCATACGTCATCCAACAACAAATACACCGCAACCAAACGCGTCCATCATCGTACAACACAGACATGACATTGGCGTCTCTCACATCATTTGGAGGGCTCATATTTGTCGCATTTCCATGTGGCTTCTTAGGCACTGCCACGCATGTGAAGGCCCAGAAGCCCTGTTCCTTTGCATGAACACCTAGTGTTGTATGGTGGTGGTGGTGGTGGGTTTCGTCGTGTGTGACACAGGGAAACTGGCTGTCTCAGCGCTATTCAGCATATCTGCCCATCTCCGCATAAAATGACTGATCGGATGGGAGCTTGGACTGATTCCTGGAAGAAGGAATGTAGAGTGAATTCCAGTGTGGGGATTCCGACATCATTAAACTCACTGAATATTACAGACTTTAAACCAATCGAAATGCTTTGAAACATTTGAAGTAACCAGAATACCGCTGCTTGGAAGAGTGACAAGTGATGGGATTAGTCGGTAATCCGATCTGGAGAGAGAGAGGCTGCAACCCCTTCTTCTTAATGAAGCAATCCCACTCTGTTGGGATTTGAGGCACCCCTCTCTAGTTTCCCTGTTGATCTGGCACATCCTCAACACACCACGTGTGTCTGTGCGTAGCACGCGTAGTTGAGATATTTAGCATTGTCAGTCATTTTACTGTTCTCAAGTCCTCTTTCACTAGAAACTGGTTCAGGCAAAAACCACCGTCTGACGCCTCCCACCAATTGTCTGGGTGCGTTGCACCTGCCTCTTCCCTGCCCCCACCCCCTCCCCCCCGTCGCTGCGCCGATCGCAGTTTGCCCACTGACACCCCACGCAATATCCCCCCACCGCCCGTGGGATATCTACCTTCTCATTTGCCTCCACCAATCCCTACGACCCGAAGTGACAGCACCAACCAACCAATCAACATGTCTGCTCTCTGGCTGACCCGCATACTCCTCCCTATCTGTATCACGCAAACCACACCTGCTAGACTTCTCCCCATGCAGACACACCTGCTGTTGACCTCAACTTCCTGTCCGCAGACTATGACCAACATACGGTCTTGCCCAGTTAATCCAGACGCGAAAAAGAGACGGAGTGCACGTCAAAGAAACAAGGTATATTGTGTAAAATAGAATAAACATTAGAACGAAGAAAAATGTAAGGCAAAAGTGCAAAAACAAGGAGGCAGGATAATCATGCGTTCCACTGTACAAATAATTATGGGTGGGGAGGGGGCGGCGGGGGGGGGGGACGAATTTGAACGAAGGCTATGTACATTCGCTAGCAAAGACTCCGTCCACTGAATGCGGCGGCGGCGGCGGCGACGACAGTGGGAGGGTCGGTGGTAGGCACAGGGACCGTAGGAAGCAGTGCCGCTGGTATCTAGAAAGGAGAGAGAGGATTCAGTGAACCATGGCTGAGTACCCCTTAGACTGAGCAGCACTCTAGTTTAATTGGTGCAGCCAATGTCTTGGACTGGAATGCAAGATATCTGTGCTGTGTTAGAGGCCGCATTGCAGTCCTCAGGGTAACAACTAGGTGGCAATCGGCAAAATCCTGAAGAACTAAAGCATGGCTAAAATGTCTGCATAAATTGGACCGTAAATGAATGCACAGAAAGACAATGAACAAGTCTACTGGCAAAAAAGAATGCCAAAATACAGAGAGTCAGAGCTGAGTATATGTAAGATTACAAATGGTTCATATTCAATAAGTGCAGCCTATGTTATGAATTGCAATACAGAAAGTCTATGCTGTGAGGAAGGCCAGATTGCAGATCAGCAGGAAAATAGCGTCATTCATTCAAGCATGACAGTAAGAAGAAGATCAACTGAAGTGCAAATTTGTACGCAATTTTGGTGATTGACAAGCCTACTTGAAGCAGAGAATGTCAGAATATATGAAATGGAAATAATGGCAAGGAGGGAGATGGGCAGTGAGAGACTTACCAACAGGCGTAGAGACAGGCGTCGGCTACCGGTTCGGTGAGACCCTCTGCGGACACCGGCTGGCTGTCCCGGTGCAGCCTCAACGACAGCCAGGGCCAGCGCTCAATTAGCAGCTCCAGCACCTGTTGATGGTGGTGGTGACAGACATGAAATAGCATAAGCATGAGGTAATGACCACTAAAGGAAGAGGTGATTGCATGGGGAGACGTGAAAGAGGGCAGCTGTGGTCTAATGCATACCTGGCTGTTGGTCTCGGCATCATCTGTGGAGCCGAAGAGAGAGGGTGCGAGACACAACGCCAGCGCTCTAGGGGACATGCGGTTGATGGCCTGAAGGGCCACAACCTCCCGAAGGTGGCGCATCATGTAATCAAGCGTGGCCATACGCCACCCTCTCTCCCGGTCCTCGGCCGTCGCATTGCCGGGGCAGCCGAAAGCCTTCACGAGGCCTGTTCGCACTTGCCATAAGGCGCGTGCTAGGCCTGCCGGTGTCCGCAGAGACCGGCCACATCTCTTCGTCCCCGTCTCGTTCGTCCTTGACGCCACAAACGAGGCAAACATGTGGGCATTCAGAAGACTGACAGGCAGGGTGCCCAAGTAACGCTTGATGGCTGACGAAATTGTCCGACCATCAAAAGCCTCCTCGTCGCACACCAGACGGTCACAAAGCTCACTCACATTCTGAAATAGCAAACATGTGCGAATCTGCATATTAGCACACACCTAAGCGTAAGTCAGCGTAATGCTGCATGTGACATAATGTCTCACTGCACGTATAGGATTAATGAGGTAGATGACTTACGGAATTAGCCAGCTGAATAATTGCTTGTATCCTGGATGCGCGACCTGGCACTCGATATACGCCCTCCATGTTAAGGCCGCGTACACGCAAAGCCTTCACCATCTCCACTAGCAAGTGTGGGACACCCTGGACGATGAAACAGGAAGACATTTAGTGGCAGGATTAAGCGGACCATGCCCTAACTTGCCAACGTCATCATCATAATCATTCGTCCTGAGGACTTACGGGGAAATCAGGCGACTGGTCCTGCTGTGAGACCCGGCCACCGAATACGGACCCCGGCGTGTCCGACTGCTGGCAGGCTGGAAAGAACGAAAGGAAAAGCCTGAAGGCGTGTCATATTGCAACTCAAATCGCTTCACATTAGGTCACCTTAACCAGAATTGGCAAGAAGTGATATCGATGACTCCCAAAAACGTGAAAATTGACTGACAATATTCGGACATCAGCATGAATGCATGTCGTCCTAACGACTCTGTGGAATCAACGCAGTCGCTACTTTCTACCTGACGTATATGGCTGGGATCATGTGGCTGATCGAATAGGCAGAAACATTGTTGGTGTATGACAGCGTCCATATTGTATGCGAACCTTAACATTATTTCCAGCTAGGCAACCGAGCAAACACTACAAGTGTCTACTGGACCAGTTTCCATCTAGCATCAATTTTACTATATTGCTCAGTCGGAGAGACTGGAGCATACTATCTATCCAACATAAGTCGGTATCTTAACCACGCTCGAATTCCCGTCCAACGTGCATTTAGAAGAGCGATAACGAGAGAAAGATGCAGCACTTACCGCTGGAAGACAGCACAGACGAGCCCTGCTTTCCCCACCTGGCCAGCCGTCGGAAGAACTTGCTCACTTTGTGCGTCCCGCGTCTTGAGCATTTCAACAAAGCATTCGATGTAGCGCTCGTCATTGCCAGTCGGTGAATTCTGACGCGCAAGCCGTTTGGCCACATTCAAACGCCCCAACATCGATCGACATGTAGTCTGGCACAAAATCGATTCAGGACATCTGAAAGGCCTGCCACCTTCGCAGGCACGATCGCATGCTATGTAAAATGATAGGAAGGCGAGAATTTAACCATGATATTGGGGCGTCATGCATACTTATGTGGAACCGTTTGTACTGTGTCAGTCTATGTTGGGCTGTGATGTGGTAGGTAAACTACATCCGAAGTTAGGTGTGACTTGAAGCCGACCACTTCACGATGAATCAAAGCCGCTGCAATTACTTAGATGAGCCAATTTATTTCGTAAATTTTATTCATAGCAATCGGCTCCCAGCAGATACTGTGGGCTATGTCTTGGACTACTAGAACAGCGAATCGACTCACAACTCCAGAGGGTCGTCGTGTTGCAGTACCTGTGGGGCATGAGCGACTTAAGCGAGAGTACGAAGCATAAAATATCATGATTTTTTTTAAAAGGGGAACACAATCGACCGCATGATAGTTAATATCTAGTGATGCGAGACTATGTGCGGCAAATTATGCTGTCGGCGGCTTCAGTACAACGAAGTGATAAATCTTTAGAAGCCAGTATGTAATGTGAAGCGTGTGAAGGAGATTGAATAAGTGCTGATTGGGGTGACTTGATTTGGTAGAAGAGTAAACGAGGTAGCTGTAGACTTCCTCCGCATCTTATTCCCTGCTTTAAATACTAAAATGCGTGACAGGCATATCTCATGATTCTACTAAACTCAGAAATTGATGACTGCATATGTACGTGCTGTTGACAAAACTCCCGGTCGATAGACGTGCGCGTCGTAGTCCATGCCCGATAAATGAACTTTCATCAGTGGATTGTGTTAGGTTTCCAATTATGAGCGAGGAAACCTATAGTACACGCAGTAGCTGCCTTATTAATTTAACCTTAATGTTAACTTCGACGGTATCAACTTGAATACAAACGATGCCCATGAACGTGCAGCAACGGTCGTACGGAGTGGGATTTCCTGAAGTATACGAGGAGTAGTGGGTAGGGGCACAGATTGTCGTCCAATAGGGTCACCAAGAGGGCAAACAAGACCTATGACTTTGAACATGGGTGACGTTTACCAGGTCGGGTAGTTCAGTGTTTGCACGTACTACTGAATGGTACAGTGTCAATTCTCGCCAAACTCATCGGCAAATGCAGTGGATGCAGTTATTTCGGCCAGTACTGTCACACACATACACGACGACTGTTCGACCGCCGATTTCGATTATGTTCAACATGTGCCCCACAGCTGCAGCAGTGGTGGGAGCAGGGATGGTGACTCGAGCAGGGGTTTTTAGTGCCAGTAGACTTGCGCTGCATCTACCACACTCTCTCCTCCTCCTCCCCCGCCTGGGCCCGGTGTCAAGACAGAGTCAAGAAGACCGGAGATGAGGGAGGCCGCAGGTGGATGGCTCGGACGGATCCTCACCTTGGCGCTCCACTCCGCACCGCCTGGTCCACACAACGAATGACCAGGATTTCAACCAACACAACAGAGATTTGGAGGCTGGCACGGCCGCAGCGGTCGCACCTAGGCGTGCCGCCAACGCCTTGCTCGGATCCCACACTGTGGTGGGAATGCCATAAAGGCCCCATTAAAATGGAGCCATTGCAGCCTGACTCTCAGACCGCTTCCAGTGAAGGATGAGGTCCAAGGTACCCCGTCAGTTGGCAACCTTCCAAGCCACGGCTTTTAGCGCACCGTGATAGCTTCAAGCGCGTCAGATTGTTTATAGTGAGGACAGTGCGCTGAGTCGTCGACCTCACTCTCCCTTCCCACTCCCACACCACAGCCGCTGTCCGAGCCGGTCAGCAGACTGGAGTGGTAAATGGGTGCGGTGGCTGTCATGGTCTACTGACCATGACTGCGCGCGCCACAGAACGACCTCTCCCCCAATACACACAAACACCAGGATTTCACTCAACGGGTCTTGAACGGCTTGTCTCTCACTTGCGTGAGAGTGCCGCGGAATGTGCTGTTGCAGCCCGTCTCCCAGCCAATCAATCCGCACACACACAACGAAACAGACTGCGTGGACCGAGTGGGGACATCAATCCATGACGCTTGACGTGTCGACATAGTCTCTGACTCAAGTCGTCCGTGCAGCCGAAGCCGCATGGTGACCGAGTCGAGATGCGCAATTCCCACTTGCATGGTAGGTAGCAGTTGGGTGCTTGCGATGGTTGAGTAATGATGTGTGGTGGTGGTGGTGGAGGCAATGAGGGAGGGTGTGATGGCGTGATGCAGCTGGCGGTTTTCTACTGCAGGTAGTCGTGGATGCGCATGTGGCCGAATAAGCCCATGCGATGCGTGAAGGTGCGAGGGCAGTGCTGGCAGTGGAGGCGTGTGCAGTGGGTGTAGTTTGGTGCTCCAGGCACTGATTCGCCATCTTCTCTGCGATGGATTCGCTAGTGACCGACCAGTTCGATGTGTGAAGTGAAGGTGCGGTCGCAGTGAGGGCAGGTGTGGTCCTGGTCCTCAATTCTGGATTCGGAGGTTGGTGCGTCATGGATGTGTGTGATGCTGGCGTGCGTGACGGCCACCAGAGCTGCCGCGGTAGAGGAGGAGGAATAGGTGGCGGATGAGGGGGAGGAGGATGAGGAGGAGTAGGAGGAGGAGGATGGAATTGGTGGCTCAGACGAGTAGTCAGAGTTAGTTGGCGTCAGAGAGGCGAGAAAGAGGCGGGCGGAGAGTCGACGGTTTGTGCGGTCCGAGCGTTGCACTTGGTCCGAATGTGTCCAATAAGTCCAATTCGTGCCCGGAATGTCCTTCGACACCGAAGACACGTTGGAAGCGGTTCTGCGTCGTCGTCGCGGAGTGGACGCAGATGTGATTTGCGTGCTTCGCGTTATACTTTGGCGGCGACGATGCGGTTGGGTTCATAGGTTGTAGTGCCTGTCTTCACTGTCCTCCTCCAGGTCGGTCGGTCGGTCGGTCGAGGGTGAGCTCTCTTCAGTTGGTCGGGTTAATTTGGAGAAGCTTCAGGGAGGACTTTAGAGTATCCTTGTATCGGCAACTTTGACCTCTTTGGCAGCGAGAGCACGTCTCGACGTCTCCAAAGCAGAGTCGATTGGGTAGTCGCTCGTTGTCCATGCGCACCAGGTGGCCGCTCCAGCGCAGCTGCATTTGTCTCAGCATGGTGTAGATACTGAAGATTCCCGTCCGTTCCAGTACACCTATGTCGGGGATTCGATCCTACCACCTCGGCAGTAGTCAGTAGTCCTTCACGATTCATCGTTTCGAAAGTTTTCGTCAGGTCCCCGATATTAGAGTACACGCGAATACGCATCTCCTGGCACTTTTCCTGCAGTTGACGGACGGCGAAGGTCATGTCCGCGGTCCCGCGGTGACGACGGCAACCGCACTGGCTTTCCAACAGGAAACCCTGTTCTAGGTGATTAGTCAGGCGGTTGAGGAGGATGCGTGTGAATACCTTCCCGGCGATTTTCGGGCTAGGAGATGCCTCGGTGATTGTAGCTTGTATATATGAACCACTGTTGCATCTTTGAAATCTTGCGGGAATTCACCTTGACGCCACATCTCCTGGAAGAGCCCAGTCAGGTGATTCATCAGTTGGGGACCTCCGTGCTTGTAGACCTCAGCAGGGATTGCGTCCGACCCGGGTGCTTTCCCGCTGCAGAGCTGTTGCACGGCTCTGATCGTTTCCTGGAGAGATGGCGGGAAGTCGAGGTCCACGTTGGTCGCCACTTGCGGCAAGCGGGCGATGGCGGCGTCGGAGATGACGGAAGGGCGGTTGAGGACGCCTCGGAAGTGCTCGGCCCATCGCTGTAGGATTTGCGTCTTCTCAGTCCGGAGAGTGCTGCCGTAGGCGCTGAGGAGAGGAGCAGTGCCCTTCGTCGGCGGACCGTAGACAGCTTTGATCGCGGAGAAGAAGTTCTTCCATTCGTTGCGGTCCGCGTAGCCTTGGATCTCCTCAGCTTTGCGAGCAGTCCAGGCGTCCTGCATCTCGCGCATGTGTTGCTGAAGGTGGCGGCGACTACGGTAGAAAGCAGCTCTGTTGTCGTCAGTGGGGTGGTTTACGTAGGCTTTATGTAGGCGGTTCTTCTCAGCAAGCAGACTTCTGATGGCGGCGTCGTAGTTGTCGAACCAGTCCTGGGGTTGGCGGGGTGCACGACAGAGGACGGCGAGCGCCGTCGACTGGAGTGTGTCCCTCAGTAGACACCATCGGTTCTCCACGGAGACGTTCTCGTCAGCGGCGGCGAGCCAGGGGTTGGCGGCACGCCCAGGGGCTGCTTCGGCCGTGCCAGCCTTTAATCCGTGTTGTGTTGGTCAAAATCCTGGTCATTCGTTGTGTAGACCAGGCGGTGCGGAGTGGAGCGCCAAGGTGAGGATCCGTCCGAGCCATCCACCTGCGGCCTCCCTCATCTCCGGTCTTCTTGACTCTGCCTTGACACCGGGCTCAGGCGGGGGAGGAGGAGGAGAGAGTGTGGTAGATGCAGCGCAAGTCTACTGGCACTATAAACCCCTGCGTAAGTCACCGTCCCGGATCCCATTGCTGCTGCAACTGTGGGGCACACGGTGGACATCATCGAAACCGATGGTCGAACTATCAATGTTTGTGTGTGTGTATGTGACAGGCCTGGGCGAACTAACTGCATCCACTGTTCACCGTCATGGATCTTATTTGCCCTGTTGGAATAGACGAAATTATTATAAGACTACAAACCCTGTCCATGCGCACTACTCCTCCTATACTTCAGGACATCCCACTCCATACGAGTGGTGCTGTACGTTCATGGGCATCGTTTGTATTCAAGTGGATACCGTCGAAGTTAACATTAAGGTTAAATTAATAAGGCAGCTACTGCGTGTTCTATAGGTTTCCTAGCTCATAATTGGAAACCTAACACAATCCACTGATGAAAATTCATTTATCGGGCATGGACTACGACGCGCACGTCTATCGACCGGGAGTTTTGTCTACAGCACGTACATATGCAGTCAACAATTTCTGAGTATAGTAGAACCATGAGATATGCCTGTCACGCAGTTTAGTATTTAAAGCAGGGAATAAGATGCGGAGGCAGTCTACAGCCAAAATAAACTTAAATAAACAGACTCAGTCTACCTCATTGTACACATCAGGTGCTAAGCCTGCCGATGACGTGGTTGTTGTTCACCCTGCCATCAAGTCTATGCTGTATTTCTACTTCCCCTGCATCACTAGTAGACAGAAGGCCACCGCCTGTCAAGACTCGAGCAAATTTCGATGAGATATGTTTTCGTAACCTCGTTTATTCTTCTACCAAATCAAGTCACACCAACCAGCCACTGTACACTCTCCTTCACACAATCCCTTGATCACTCGCTTCTAAAGATTCATCACTTCATTGTCCGGAAGCCGCACACAGCATAATTTGCCGCACATAGTCTCGCATCACTGGATATTAACTATCATGCGGTCGATTGTGTTCCCCTTTAAAAAAACATGATGTTTCATGCTTCGTACTCTCGCTTAAGTCGCTCATGCCCAACAGGTACTGCAACTCGACGACCCTCTGGAGTTGTGAGTCGATTCGCTGTTCTAGTAGTCCAAGACATAGCCCACAGTATCTGCTGTGAGACGAATGCTATGAATAAAATTTACGAAATAAATTGGCTCATCTAAGTAATGGCAGCGGCTTTGATTCATCGTGAAGAGATCGGCTTCAAGTCACACCTCACTTCGGATGTAGTTTACCTACCACATCACAGCCCAACATAGACTGACACAGGACAAACGGTTCCACATAAGTATGCATGACGCCCCAATATCATGGTTAAATTCTCGCCTTCCTATCATTTTACATAGCCTGCGACCGTGCCTGCGAAGGAGGCAGGCAATTCAAATGTCGTGAATCGATTTTGTTCCAGACTACATGTCGATCGATGTTGGGGCGTTTGAATGTGGCCAAACGGCTTGCGCGTCAGAATTCACCGACTGGCAATGACGAGCGCTACATCGAATGCTTTGTTGAAATGCTCAAGACGCGGCACGAAGAAAGTGAGAAAGTTCTTCCGACGGCTGGCCAGGTGGGGAAAGAAGGGCTCGTCTGTGCTGTCTTACAGCGGTAAGTGCTGCATACTTCCCTCGTTGTTGCACTACTTAATGCACGTTGGACGGGAATTCGAGCGTGGTTAAGATACCGACTTCTGTTGGATAGTTAGTATGCTCCAGTCTCTCCGACTGAGAAATATAGTAAAATTGATGCTAGATGGAAACTGGTCCAGTAGACACTTGTAGTGTTTGCTTGGTTGCCTAGCTTGAAATAATGTTAAGGGTCGCAGACAATATGGACGCTGTCATACACCAACAATGTTTCTGCCTATTCGATCAGCCACATGATCTCAGCCATATTCGTCAGGTAGAAAGTAGCGACTGCGTTGATTCTACAGAGTCGTTAGGACGACATGCATTCATGCTGATGTCCGAATATTGTCAGTCATTTTTCACGTTTCTGGGAGTCATCGATATCACTTTTTGCCAATTCTGGTTAAGGTGACCTAATGTGAAGGGATTTGAGTTGCAATATGACACGCCTTCAGGCTTTTCCTTTCGTCCTTTCCAGCCTGCCAGCAGACGGACACGCCGGGTTCCGTATTCGGTGGCCGGGTCTCACAGCAAGACCAGTCGCCTGATTTCCCCGTAAGTCCTCAGGACTGATGATGATGATGACGATGTTGGCAAGTTAGGGCATTTTACATTCCATGGTCCGCTTAATCCTGCCACTAAATGTCCTCCTGTTACATCGTCCAGGGTGTCCCATACTTGCTAGTGGAGATGGTGAAGGCTTTGCGTGTACGCGGCCTTAACATGGAGGGCGTATATCGAGTGCCAGGTCGCGCATCCAGGATACAAGCAATTATTCAGCTGGCCAATTCCGTAAGTCACCTACCTCCTTAATCCTATACGTGCAGTGAGACATTATGTCACATGCGGCATTACGCTGAATTACGCTTAGGTGTTTGCGTGTGTGCTAATATGCAGATTCGCACATTTTTGCCATTTCAGAATGTGAGTGAGCTTTGTGACCGTCTGGTGTGCGACGAGGAGGCTTTTGATGGTCGGACAATTTCGTCAGCCATCAAGCGTTACTTGGGCACCCCCGGCAAGGTGACGGCCGAGGACCGGGAAAGAGGGTGGCGTATGGCCACGCTTGATTACATGATGCGCCACCTTCGGGAGGTTGTGGCCCTTCAGGCCATCAACCGCATGTCCCCTAGAGCGCTGTCGTTGTGCCTTGCACCCTCTCTCTTCGGCTCCACAGATGATGCCGAGACCAACAGCCAGGTATGCATTAGCCAACAGCTGCCCTCTTTCACGTCTCCCCATGCAATCACCTCTTCCTTTAGTGGTCATTACCTCATGCTTATGCTATTTCATGTCTGTCACCATCACCATCAACAGGTGCTGGAGCTGCTAATTGAGCACTGGCCCTGGCTGTCGTTGAGTCTGCACCGGGACAGCCAGCCGGTGTCCGCAGAGGGTCTCACCGAACCGGTAGCCGACGCCTGTCTCTACGCCTGTTGGTAAGTCTCTCACTGCCCATCTCCCTCCTTGCCATTATTTCCATTTCATATATTCTGACATTCTCTGCTTCAAGTAGGCTTGTCAATCACCAAAATTGCGTACAAATTTGCACTTAACTCGATCTTCTACTTACTGTCATGCTTGCATGAATGACGCTTTTTTCCTGCTGATCTGTAATGTGGCCTTCCTCACAGCATAGATTTTCTGTATTGCAATTCATAACATAGGCTGCACTTATTGAATATGAACCATTTGTAATCTTACATATATTCAGCTCTGACTCTCTGTATTCTGGCATTCACTTTTGCCAGTAGGCCTGTTCATTGTCTTTCTGTGCATTCATTTACAGTCCAAATTATGCAGACACTTCAGCCATGCTTTAGTTCTTCAGGATTTTGCCGATTGCCACCTAGTTGTTACCCTGAGGACTGCAATGCGGCCTCTAACACAGCACAGATATCTTGCATTCCAGTCCAAGACATTGGCTGCACCAATTAAACTAGAGTGCTGTTCAATCTAAGGGGTACTCAGCCATGGCTCACTGAATCCTCTCTCTCCTTTCTAGATACCAGCGGCACTGCTTCCTACGGTCCCTGTGCTTACCACCGACCCTCCATCTGTCGCCGCCGCCGCCGCCGCCGCCGCATTCAGTGGACGGAGTCTTTGCTAGCGCATGTACATAGCCTTCGTTCAAATTCGTCTCCCCCCCGCCGCCCCCGCCGCCCCCTCCACACCCATAATTATTTGTACAGTGGAACGCATGATTATCCTGTCTCCTTGTTTTTGCACTTTTGCCTAGCATTGTTCTTCGTTCTAATGTTTATTCTATTTTACACAATATACCTTGTTTCTTTGACGTGCACTCCGTCTGTTTTTCGCGTCCGGATTAACTGGACAAGACGGTATTTTGGTTATAGTCTGCGGACAGGAAGGTGATGTCAACAGCAGGTGTCTGCATGGGGAGAAGTCTAGCAGGTGTGGCTTGCGTGATACAGATAGGGAGGAGTATGCGGGTCAGCCAGAGAGCAGACATGTTGGTTGGTTGGTTGGTGCTGTTACTTCTGGTCGTAGGGATTGGCGGAGGCAAATGAGACGGTAGATATCCTGCGGGGGGTGGGGGGATTTTGCGTGGAGTGTCTGTGAGCAAACTGCGATCGGCGCAGCGACGGGGGGGAGGGGCTGGGGACAGGGAAGAGGCAGGTGCAACGCACCCAGACAATTGGTGGGAGGCGTCAGACGGTTCTCAATAGAACGGTGGTTTATGCCTGAACCAGTTTCTAGTGCTAGAGGACTTGAGAACAGTAAAATGACTGACAATGCTAAATATATCAACTACGCGTGCTACGCACAGACACACGTGGTGTGTTGAGGATGGGCCAGATCAGCAGGGAAACTAGAGAGGGGTGCATCAAATCCCAACAGAGTGGGATTGCTGCGTTAAGAAGAAGGGGTTGCAGCCTGTCTCTCTCTCTCCAGATCGGAAGACCGACTAATCCCATCACTTGTCACTGTTCCAAGCAGCGGTATTCTGGTTGCTTCAAAAGTTTCAAAGCATTTCGATTGGTTTAAAGTCTGTACTATTCAGTGAGTGTAATGATGTCGGAATCCCCACACTGGAATTCACTCTACATTCCTTCTTCCAGGTATCAGACCAAGCTCCCATCCGATCAGTCATTTTATGCGGAGATGGGCAGATATGCTGAATAGCGCTGAGACAGACAGTTTCCCTGTGTCACACACGACAAAACCCACCACCA